ATGCCCATTTTCCTTCCTTGCCCGGGAGCCTGGCTTGTGCAGAGGCGGGAAGGGTACAGGGAGTTATCCAGGGACATCTGGCTCTGACTCCAGCTGCCTGGCTTCGGGGCAGGACTGGGACAGGTAATTTTGACTTCTCTCTGTTTCCACAAAGATTTTCAATTTCTTCAAGCAACTCCGCTTCGACTCAATATCCTTCTGAAATCTAAATTTGGACCCTAACTTGAATCGATTGTTTTTCCTGGTATGTCAGAGCTGCCCTGGGCTTCTGGGAGGGAGTGCTGGTGTGCACCCTTCAGAGCCACTGTACTGGGTCCTCTGAGAAGGGTGGGACAATGAAGCCCACAGCCCTCCAGCTGCCCTGCACGTGGGAGGGAGCTGGACGCGGGGAAAGTGCCATGGTGATCTGAGTCTTGGTCCTGTCCTTCAGGGGCTGTGCTTCCCTGGCTAACCCACGTGGCCTCCCTGCTTCCCTCCCTCCTCATCTGTAAAACAAGAGAATAAGTAACTTCCTCCAAAAGTGACAGGAAAGGCAACAGAGAGCTACAGGCCTGCACAGAGTTACCTGCTAATCCAGCAGGAAAACCATCTGCCCCTGATGCCTGATGCTGGCGCAAAACCACACGCCACCAACTTAAAAGTGTTTTAACCAAGTTCTCTGTTCTCTCTCTGATTATTTCCTGTAATCAATGAGTTGATTTTACACTACAAAAAGCAATATCAACCCATATTCATATCATTAAATAATCCACTTTAAAAAGTACTGATTTTTGCTGATCCCTAACCTGACTGCTTCACTTCCAAGCTCCTTGAAGGATCTGGTTCCTTTCAGCCAGGAAGATGAAGACTACACCAGACTCCAGATGGTAGGGGGCAAGATGGCTGGGGCAAGAGGGCAGAGGCAAGACGGTGCAGGCAATATGGTGGAGGACGGAACTTGGAGGCAAGATGGTGGAGGCAACATGGCGGAGGAAGATGGCGGAGGGAAAATAGTGGAGGGAAGATGGCAGAGGCAAGATGGTGGAGGGAAGATGGCGGAGGCAAGACAGTGCAGGCAATATGGTACAGAGGAGATGGCAGAGGTACATGATGGGATCGAGATGGCCCAGACAAGATGGCACAGGCAGCACAGCTTCCAAGTACTCAGTCTTTCTAGCCAAGTCCTTCCAGCTCTCTCCCCTTCCCACATCACCCAACCCAACCCAGCCTTTTGGAGCTGAAGGTTATCTCCTCTGGCTTTCATTTACTTCCTAAAACCAGCTCCCATCCAGTCAATCAACAAGGTCAAGGGCCCACATCTCATCCAATGTGCCAAGGAAGTTGCTGAGGGGTGGAGGAGGGATGGAAGTCTACAGTGTAGTTCCAGCCCTTATGGAACCTGTCGTCTCATTCAGAACTCGAAACTCCAAGGCACAGGAGTGCAGGCCACTGACCAAGCCTCAAACACTCAGACAGCAAGAGCTCAGACAGTGCAGCCTGCAACAATCCCACCCCCCCAGGAGGTGACCTGTGCCAAGCCTGAAAGGATGGACACCTGGGGAAGGGGTCAGGAGAGCAGAGCAAGCCAGGACCCCTGGCACAGCTCCAAGACCAGGGCTGCAATGTGGAGGCTGAGACCCCCCAGGCCAACGCAGGGTATTCAGCAAGCAGATGAGTCTGGCTGGGGTGAGAACACAGGCCACGCCCCTGCAGCCGTATGGTCAGGCACCGACTGCCAGCCTCCAAGGGGACTGGGATCTCTTAGGACACAGGAACCACTGGAAGGTATGGGGCCCTTGGAAGTGGTTGCTTTCCCATCAGAGAGCTGGACCACTGTGTACCCAGCAGAACAGAGGAGACCAAGACACAGCACTCAGTCAAAGGACAGTGCCACAAGAGTCCAGGTACAGGAAATAAAGGCCCAAGGAAGGAGGTGGGGAGGGGACCTGATGGAAGAAACAGAAGAGCTGTGAGGGAGATTCTGGAGGAGAGAACATCTAATTCACACCTGTGTGCTTCTCCGAACCAGCTTCTCCGCTTTCTCTTTAAAGGGTCCTTCACCGCCTGTACTAAGAAAAGATGATGACCTGTAACTGCTTCCCAAAAGGCAGGACACCAGGCTTTGGCAGCAGGTCTCAGCAGAGGGGTCAATTCGGAGGCAGTCTGGCTCTCAGCAGGCCCAACACAACCTCCTGTGCCATCAGAGGAGTGGCAGTAGGGACGGCCACATAACAGCAGGGAAAGGGCCCTCCCAGAGCCTCCCCTGGAGCCTCCTAAGTCTATAGGACTGAGCAGCTTCTAAGAGGCCAGCTCTCCTGTGCATCAGAGCCCGGAAGTCCCTACCAGAAGCCCAGTTGTGGGTCCGAGCTGAGGAATAAGGAACACTGAGGTCAAGGTTTCCCTCTCCTTCAGTGGCAATGGGTGCAGGAGCAGAGCAAAGGGCCATGGGATGCCAGGGGCCATCTCCCCAGGGCGGGGCAGCCTCTCCTCCTCTTCTGGCCCCTCCATGCAGAAATAGCACAGCCACAGGCATTAACCAAACAAGCACAGGCAGAAGAGGGAGGGCTGGAGGGTGGGGAGGGAGAGGGAGGTCCTCTCCATTACGGAACCTGCCCTGCGCTTTTCCTCCAGGTTTCCTGTCACTACAAATTACACTCGGCGGCCAGGAGGGTAACATCTGCCAAGGCCCAGCTTGAGCTCCTTGCTTGCCCAGGAAAAGCTCTGGACTGGGCCTTCCTGCCAGCTCCTCGCGGAGGCTGGAAGTCAAGAAGACTCAGCCTCCCCCCACCCCCACAACCCCCAACTCAACAACCTGAGAACCGTTTCCATGGCAGAAGCCCATGAGATAGACCCCCAGCCACTGGACACAAGTCTCAGCTTCTCAGAAGCCCCAGCCAGCTGGGGTTGGCCCATGAAAGAGTTTTCTGCCCTTGCTCTGCGTGATGTAGGCGAGAGCATGGAGCAGTGGGTCATGGTCCTGGTCACGAGCTTGTTAGAGGTAAATTCCCAGGCCCAACTCCAGGCCTACTGAGTCAGAGACCTGGGAAGTGGAGCCCAGAAATCTGTGTCGTATAAAGCCCTCGTAGTGATTCTGAAGCACCCTAAAGATCAGACTCTAGTGCAGCCGCTGAGAACCTCCATCCTGGAGCCAGATGGTCCAGGGTCAACTCCCAGCCCTATCATTCACTGGCTGGGTCACTGTGAGCAAGTTGCCCTGGAGCAAGTAAGAGCAGCAGGCTCCTGCAGAGACTCGATGGATTCATTATGCCTGTTACACTTAGGAAATACCATGCAGGATTTTATTAGTCCTGTTGGGGGCTGTGGCTGTATTACAGCTAATAATCCCCCACAGAAACTGACCACCACAAAGTAGCCAGTGTCCCTCAATTCAGCCAAGAGTCAGGGACTTGGGCTGTCCACTGGGCTCCAGGGACATACCTATGGCAGGTATCTGTGCAGAACATGAGATCTACTAAGCCTCTCATTTCTCCAGAAATTAGCTATGGGGTCTTGTTTCCACTGGTTCATTTTATTTTTAGACACTTGGGAGAAGAGCTTCTTCAAGGCTCCAGTGGGCTCCCCCACACCTAGCCATACCTGCAAGGGGCAGGGGCCAGACCTGCTTCACACTGCAAGGAACTGACCACAACTTCCCTGGAATCATCCAGAGGGGACCATCAGAGAGCAGGAAGAGAACAGTCTGGCATCCTCCTCCTCCCTGTCCCCTGCCACCTGCCACAGGGCTGGTCCCTTCTCACAACAGTGAAAACAGTTATGTATGGTCCCCAACAGTACACAGGTCCCATCTATACTTGCCCCTCCACATATTTCTATTTTCAGCAAAACTCATAATCAGAAGGACATCATAGGCCAAGAACACAGGCTGTGTGGCTAACCAGATGCAGGGTTCTGACTGGAAACCTCACTGCTTCCTAACGGCAGGACTCGGAACAACTTAGCCTCGTTTTTTCATTTCCCATACAGGGATGGGGTGGAACCTCCTTGGACTGACATGGACATTCTGAGATAATGCACTCATGATGTCTTTGCACAGTACCTGACACACAGCAGAATCCCACCCCTCATTTATCAGCATTATCTTTATGATCATCTGAAGTTCTGGAACTACCACGTGAGAATATGAGTTAGGAGCCCAGGAAGGGAGGAGCCTTAGATAAACCCATCTAGGATCCTGCAGAGCTGCCTGAATTCAAGTAGGCAACACCCATGTTGGGGACAGCAAGTGTCCAATGATCATCAGTCCCTGGGACTGGGTGTAACCAAGGAACATTAAAAGTCTCCCCCTTCTCCCTAAGAACACTTTAGATGAGGCAGATTCTGGCCACTGTCACAGATGGATGCCATACCTCACTTTGCTACCCTCTGAACACCTGTTTCCCAGGATCTCGGGGAAACTTCAGCAGTTGTCCCTCTGCAGTGTGGGATGAGAAATGGGAGTGTTTTTAAGAGCAGCCTCCACTGAGGCAGCAGGAAGTACTCTTTATTAGCTGTGCAGCTCGCCTTCCGAGAAACACATCCATTCAACTTATTACAGAAGGGCATCAGCCACACCACCTGGGGCCTTGACTCTGCAGACACTCAAGCCGCTGATCCACCCCTGCACCAGCTCTGCTCCCCACTATACGCAGCACTCAAGCAGCATTTCCTCCCTAGACATCGGCCCACGCCTCCAGTCCCAGTTGGCTGTTCTGCCAGTTCCTGCGCTCTGGCTGGAGTCACCAAGGAATGATTTCCTGCCTGGCACGCGGGGACCGGGCGCCAATGGCATTGACATGTTTCCAAGCTAAAACCAAACTTACTGCGGGGCACAGAAAAGAAGCAAGCATTTGTTCCTGCCAGCAGCCCCTGCCTCCTGCCCAACACCGGGCAGGGAAGGTAAGAGGGAGCGCGCTGGGCCCCTGGGGTGCAGGCCACCGAGCGCAGCGCAGAGAGCCCAGGGAGCTCACCCATGACCGCCCGCCCGAGCGCGCCGAGACCCGTGGGCGCCAGTGCGTCCTTACCATTCAGCTGCCGGTAGACGATGTCCTCTAGCAGCGAGAGGCGCTTCAGCACTGCATCCTGGATGGGGCTGGCGCTGTGCGCGCTGAGGTTCGCCACCTCGGCGCGCGGCCGGATCTCGTGGAAGGCGTCTCCGCTGCGCACCGCGATGGGCCGGCACTTGGCCAGGAAGAGCACGAAGCCGGCCACCGCAATCAAGTTCAACACCAGCAGCACTTTGACTCTTCTCAGTGAAGCCATCAAACAACCCGGCCGGCCCTCGCCCCGGACCCGCGCCCCCTCAGACTCCGGTGAGGCGCGGGACAGCCTTGGGGCTGTGCGAGCCTCACACACCTGGCGGCGGGCGAGGATCCCAGCTGCTGCTGGCCCCGAAGTGCAGAAGCTCCAGCAGCAGAGACGGCTGGGAGGACCGGGTGGTCAGGAGAGAGTGCAGTCGCTCACATGGAAGCACTGGGTCTGCAGAAGTGCTCCCCGAGACGCCTGTTCAGTCCACAGAGCGCAACCCCTTCCAGGATTGGCGGCGAAAGGTCGGGGCGGGGGTGGAGGGTCTCTCCTCTGCACCAGAAAGGGGTTCGCCTCTGAACCTTGGGCCGCGGCGGCCGCAAACCCCGGGGCCGGTGGGCAGGCAGACCCAGCTAGTCGGGAGCGGGGCGGGAGCGGCGCGCAGGTGCCGGGCTCAGGGCTCGCCGTCTGCCCGCGGATGAGCGCGCCACCCCGGGAGCCACACAGCCACCACCCTCGCCCGCAGCAGCCGTCGCGGCGCACGAGCCGCGCTGTTCAGCCGAGGATCCGCTCCTCCGGGCCGGTGCCTTTGTTCCACTCACCGGCCCGCTCCATCACGCCGGGCGGAGGAACAGCCCGCACCCGGCGCCAGCATCCTCGCAGGTCCGCAGTCACGACCAAGTCTCAATCACTCTCAAAGTAGGGTCAGCACTCGGGGGCCTGGGCCACTCGCGACGTCCTCTCCGCCCCTGGCGCCGGGGCCACCCCGCCCGACCCGCAAACTCACCAGCGCGCACGGCGCAGCGGGCTGTCGGACACGTTCCAAGTCTCGGCACCACGCAGGGAGCCTTCGGGGCCTGCCGGGCACACTGGCCTGTGTCGGAGCTGGTGCGTCGCAAGGCTGGCCGGAAGGAGGAGTCGGACCTCAAAAGTCACAGCAGTTCTCGATCCCCCTCCCAAAACGTCGCGGGCAGCGCGGCGGGGAGGGACGCGCGCCGGCGCACCCAGCGCTTGTCAGAGCGGGCCGCGCGGCTCGTCCCGCGCCCCAAGGACCCAAACGCCGAGTCTCCCAATTGGCGGACGCAGTGACACCGCCGCTGCGGCACCGAGAGCCCCCACTACCCTGGGGCTGGAGAGCCCGGAGGAGACTCGCAGGTGGCGACGGAGGGCGGGGCGCGGCCCGAGGGGAGCGGCCGCGGCGCCGGCTCCTCCTCCGCCGCCCCCGGCCGCCCGCTCCCCGCGAGCCAGTCGCCGCCGCCGCCCGCAGGCTGCTGGGCGCACCGCTCCCCGGCTCGCCGGCTCGTGCGCGCGCACCCGGAGAGGGTGGGGGCGCCTGGAGAGCGGGGACCGCGCGGGATGGGGGGGGTCAAGTCATGCTGGCTGCGGCCGGCGCCGGAGGGACCCTGGTTCTCAGCTCTCCCCGAGCGGGCGGGTTCGTTCCATCCCGGCTGGCGATGAAGACATCCCTTTCTGTGTGCTCGCAGCTCCGCTTTGCGTGGCCAGGAATGGCTAGAGGGAAAATCTGGCCTGGAGACACGGATTCTGTGACTTTCGGAGCCAGGCCCGGCATTAGCGGGCAGGGGAGGTTCTCTCCGGGAGAGAATTCTGACCGTCTCTGTCACCGTTTCTGTGACCGCCGCACCTCGGTTGGCATTTTATTACAAGAAGCGTGTTTCTTTGGCTACTGGATTTCCATGACCTCTTCCTCCTTCCAAAACCAGGAGCTCCAAATGCTGAAATCCAAACCCCCTCGTTGATCCACTTAATTCCTTAGGCCTGAAAAAGAAACCAGGCTGCCAACTAATAAAAATTAGACAGTAAAACCAAATGAACTTGGTGGTTTCCACCAGCAGCCTCATCGTTTCCATCTCATTGGATTTCTATTCCTGTTTGGTGTTTGTCTAAGCGAACGGGTGTTGTTTTGCTCGTTATTTCAAATATTGACTTTTAACATAGAAAAGTACATTAAAAAACCTAACCCTCTTTTTATTTCATTCTCTTGGAACTCTGTCTAATAGATTCCTCATGGTGTTTGCTTGGTATAAACTATAAGAAAGTGGAAACAAAGTAGTTAAATGAAAAGCCCCATCGAAAGACACTTTTTACCACACATGTTGGGTAGGAGGGAAGTGGGGGAAGAAATCTGGGCTACCAAGCAGTTCTGGCATGATAGGCACAGAGGCAGATGAGGTCCCCAGATTATCCCACTGAATACCCAGTTGAGTCAGGTGTCATTTTATCCACTACAGATGGAAGCTGTCACAGGGGCGGAAAGGTGCACAGTGTTCCTCACCCATCACAAGGGGCACAGCCCACACTCCTATAATAACAGGTTAAGAAGAGCAAAGCCTGACACATTGTTTCATCACAGTTTCATGTGGCACTGAAGCCTTCAGATACAAGGGCCCACAGACCTGGGGACAGCTTTATTTTATGTTTAGATCCAATGAAGACTGGACAGCTGTGCAGAAAGGTGACTGGAGAAAGGGATCTGATCTGCCGGTGATAGACCAAGGGACAACCCTGCCCGACCCCTGTGTCCGCCTTCTGCTGCCTTCTCTGTGCCGCTCAGGGCAGGACCCCTCTGGAATGAGCATCTTTAACAAAGAAGGGAGAGAGGAACTCCATAGGTTTCATGGCTGGTTGGGGGTGGGGGGGTCTAGTTTCTATGACCCACCTTGGGGGAAGAGGAATTCTGGTGGCTATGAAAGACAGTGGGAGACCCAACAAAGCAGGACAGAGACTTTGCTTTGAAGGCTACTTCTGAGCCATCTGATCTCCTTGGTTGAAGTACTTAGCAGCCAACGTTGCCATACTTTGGGGTGTCACCTTCTGAGTGCCAACACCAGCACCTTCAACACACACATCTGAAAGTCAGTTTGGAAGCCTCACTCAGGCCTGAGCTGGGAAGGCTGAGATGGTGGGCTCGGTACCCAGGAGTCTGACTCCCGAGCTTGTGCATATTTGGAGATGGGAAAGACAAAAAAGAAAGTGGAGGAAACAGACTTCAGAGATGGAGATGAGAGGGATCCAGGCAAGACCAACTTTGGAGAGCTGGCTTCTCTCCCTGATTTCTCTCCAGGGGCCTGTGGCGCTTACACCCTGAGCTCCGCCTTCAGGGCCATCGCTCCAGAGTCCCAACCTGAGCTCAGGCGGCCACTCTTGTCTTTCACCTCTTCCATGCTCAACTCTAACCAAGCACCTTCTCCGGGTGCCGCTTCTCTTCCTGCCCAGTGTAGAGCTTCCCACCAGCTCTCAGTTCCTCCTGCACCCTCTTGGAGTTCATGGTCACTCATTTATTTCAAGCACACTTCTAATAGCGACCGACCTCCCCACACATGCTCCCACCTGCCCCGCCACGCCCTGCCGGGCAATGCCGATCGCCCAATCACCCTTCTCTCCAACTGAGGCACCCAGGGAAACCCAGGGCACTCAGGGAAACCCAGAGCACACCAGAGCTTGAGGACATTACCCACAGGTGGTGTCTAACTTTAGTTGGGCTCTTCATTCTGCTCAAAGGCACATTCTGTGTCCAGTTTGTGTCCCCAGAAGTGCCCGGGAAGACTTCAGAAATCTGTGAGGACTTCTCAATAAGATACCAAAAATTATGTGTGTGGCCATCTGGGAATTTTTCCCAGGGGGGGGGACCCTATAACTTTCATTAGATTCTCATGTGGTCTGTGACCCTAAAAATTAAAGAACCCCCACACCCATGTATCTGTGGGTGCTTCTTCTTAGACACACACACACACACACACACACACACAAAACTCTCAGAGGCTCAAGTCCCTTAGGTGAAATGTAGCATTTGCTTAGGTTATTTATACCCAATGCAATGTCAACGCTATGGAAATAGTTGTTACATTGTATTGTGTAGGGAATAACAAGAAAGAAGTCAGCGCCTGTTCAGAAAGGATGCAATTTAAAAATATATATATATTTTTTTGATCTGCCTTTAGTTGGATCTGAGGATCAGGGAGAGTGGTTTATACAAGAACATAATCAGTTAAATATTTTTCATGTGCCAGCTGCTTCTGAAAACAGTGGAACAAGGTACCTAAGGCTGATGGAACTATCAGGTTGCCTTCAGATCCTGGTGGAGGACTCAGGCCACACAGGGTGTAGATGGAGGTGAGATTGGTAGGAAGGAGCTAAATGAAATAGGTTCTGCCAGTTGAGTGACTGACTCCCCAGACCTGGCAGGAGCACATGGATTCACTTACCTGACATCCTCGCAGATCGCAGACAGGATAAGAGTCTGCACCATCCTGACCTTGAGGCTCCCAAAGGGCTAGGTGACCTGCCTCAAGCTGTAGCGCCATCAGTCTGCATGTGATTTGCTCCAGTCCAGCTAGAGAAAGAACTTGACAGGACTTCAGGGCTCTGTGACCTGCTCACCCAGAGGTCTGGGTCTGCCCCCATCTCTGTCACCAAGGAGCAGATCAGTCTTGACTTTAAAGTTAGAATTTTATCTTGGATGCCTCCAGAATTTTTTCCCCCATCATAAAACATGGTGGAACTACAAATGCTCTTTGAAGAGACTGGTTTGTTGGCTTGCTTGCCTTCTGCTCTAGCAAGCTGGAAAGGAACCCACTGTCCCTGTCCAGAGTTGCTGAGGGATTTGATTCTAAACACATCTTTACTCTTCAACTACAGTTCACTCTGCTCACTATTGGCTTGGAAGCCTCACTCATCTTTATGCAACTCATTATTGCACCTCACACTAGTCTACCAGAGGGGTCAAAAGACTTGCAAGTTCACCAAGAAAAACTGGGGTTCATTGCCCTAGAGAGGATTCAACTTACTTCTGCCAGAAGCAGGGGACAAGGTCTCTCATGGAACCCTGAGTTCTGTGGTAGAGGAGTTATTTTAAAGACAGAAAAAAGGCACAAATCCACTTCCCCACTTCAGGTAATAGTCGTGGGGAGAGCTAAGAGGGGAGACAAATGACTTATCCTATTGCATGTGCTCATGGTCTCTGCAGGGCATTGTGTATGCTTTAACCCAGACTCACCAGTGAAGTCCTGTGAGACTGTGGACAAATTTTCTAACTTCTCTGGGTAAACATCAATAACACTCATACATAAAGCTATCTCCTGAAGTGACAAGGATAAACAGGCAAATATGTGCACATCACCTAGCTCAGTGCTGGGCATACAGTAAGCACCACAGAAACAAACCAAGGCCACTCAAATGGAAACAAACACAGGCTGTTTATTCAGGGCTTGCTATTTCAAAGGGGCAGTTCACCATCATTTGTACTGGACAGAAGCTCAAGGGCACACAGAGGAGAGGGAGCATTCATCGTGGAAAAACAGAGGGTTTCAGGTGTGCTCTGATTGGAGGCTGCTGGCCTGGGGAAGCCAGAGGTAGGCTAACCAAAAAGGTTAACAGTGTGACTAGTTGGGGGAGTCAGTTAGGCTTGCTTTAGTGGATCCTGGGGAGGAAGCAGGGCATCCAGAAGCTCATGGCAGGGCCTGGCTGTTACAACAGAATGCTGGGAGGTCACGGATTGGTTTTCTGGGCAGATTGCTGCAAGGTTGGAAAGTGGGGTCCTATCATCTTTGGTCTGGCCATTGTTTGTATTTCAGCCTCTCAGTACTCAATAAATATTGGGCATTGCTATTGCCGTTAAAATCACCATCCCTGAGGAAGCCTAGGCATTGGGGGAAACAGGCATCGGCAC